AGTAGTAGTAGTAGTAGCAGCAATCGCTTTGTTCCTGTTGAGCAGCGTGGTGTGCCGAGCCTGCCAGGTTCTAGATCATGAAGATCATCAAGCCGGGACAGAAGCTGTGGCACCTCAGCTCGAGTTTAGTGAGGTGGCTCGCGCTTTTCATGCTGCTGGCATGTGCCTGGCATGGCAGTGCCTGAAGTTTAAGAGGGTCGTAGAGCTGCCACGGAGATGAGCCGAGGACCAAGCGGATCGCGATGAGGACCTAGAGCAGGCGTCTACAGATGTTGTGCCACGCTCGGACGCTGCTCACCTCCGCAAGCTGGAAATCCTTGGCATCACGGCAGCTCACAGTCTGCCAGAGGACCACCGTGTGGGCCCCATCAGCTCAGATTCTGATTGCAGGTCTGAGCCGTTGCCCTCAGGAAGCTTCTGGTTCCAAACGAGCCTGACAGGTTCTGGTGTCCAGGCCATGTTGCAGGAGATGACATTGAACAGTCCCAGTCCCGCATTGGTTCAATTGACGCGCAGCTTGATCCGCGCTTGCAACTGCCATGTTCAAGTATCAGACGATCTTTGCGTCGCAGACGTTTTTGCGACCAGCGCCGCAATCGCTGCGCAGGCAGTGCGCATCCTTGACAAACCAGCAGCAGAGTTGCAAAGAATCATCGAGATACATGAGTCCGATCCGGGGTTGGAAGATTGCGACGAGGAGCACGAGGATCCCTTTGCCATCCAGATAAATTGGACCGATCATCCTTCCGACCACAGTTTTTCACACCATACAGCGTCCCCTTCATTCAGCAGCCTGCCGCTTCCGTCGGCGCAGTCCTTTGAACCATCCTTGAACTTGTGGACTTTCCAGCATGCGCTTGACCCAGTTCAGGCTCGGGCTATTGCTTGCGTCGAGCATCGCGAGTCCGTGCTGCTCTGCGCGCCGACATCTGCAGGTAAGACGGCAGTTGCAATATATGCAGTGGCCATGGCCCTGCATCACAAGAGACGTGCCATTTACACAACGCCGATCAAAGCGCTGTCAAATCAAAAGTTTTTGGAACTGGGGAATTGTTTTGGTGCGCAGTATGTCGGGATTATGACGGGTGATGCAGTTATCGCGAGCGATGCTCCCATCGTGGTGATGACGTTAGAAATCCTTCACAGCATGCTTTACAAGCAAGCAAGAGATCCGAATCTTCTGGATGACTTCGCTTTTGTCGTCATTGACGAAGCCCATTTTCTGGGTCATGCAGAAAGAGGTTATGCCTGGGAAGAAGTGCTTGTCCTCCTGTCGCTTCATGTCAGGCTGGTGCTCCTGTCGGCGACCGTGCCAAATAGCAGGCAGATCGCTGAGTGGTGCTCGCGGATTCGAGTGGAGCCGATGCATGTTCTCACAAGCGAGCAGCGTCCGGTCCCTTGTCCTGCATGTGTATTCTTTGTTTCGCATGATGTCACTGCTTGTCCTGCACCGAATCACTAACAGACGAGCGCCTTGCCAGTTAGGTGCCACTTTCACACATCATCTTCCGATGTGGGCCGGCAGATTTCTTCGGAAAGAAGCGCTCATGCTTCAACATCATGAGGCCGCCGCAGAACTTTTTCAGGCCCTGGAATGTGGAAGAGGCTGTGCGGCAGAGGGCCGTCATCCTCAAATTGCAACCTGTGTGGCGGTGCCCCTCAGCGCTCCTGTCACGCTTCATCGGGCACCGTGGCCAAAATCTTAAGAGCCTCACAGCCGGCTTGTCGGCATCTGTGCGAGTGCTGGATGATGGGGTAATTCAAGTCGCAGCTTTCGACATCGATGTGGAGCTTGAAGCAAAGAGGAGAATTAGCACCTGGCTGAAGAGCAACGGCGTGCCTGAGCAACTTGCGAAGGCGCCTGATTCCTCCGGCGACCCCTTGTCTCTCCAAGTTGAGGATCTGGAACGCCTGCTGTCCCTGCTGTGGTGCCGAAAGCAGCTTCCCACTATCGGGTTTTGCTTTGACAAGCGCATGTGCGAGCGAGTCGCGCTGCTTCTGGCAGGCGCCAAGCGCATGGATTTTACCAGCGGCGCTGACAAGGTCAAGATTCTGGATCGGCTACAGGGTTCTTATTTATGAGCTGAGTTTAGGGTACGATGATAGGGATATGTTGTGCGTTAGTGTTTGATATGCTTTCCTTCGTGTGTCACCTTTCCATTTCATTTCAAGTTCCTAAGCAAGAACTCAGGCTGCAGAGTGGCCTTGCCAGTCTGGAGGAAGCCGACAAGCAACTTGCACAAGTACGGAATTCCTGCGATTTGCTGAGCCGTGGCATCGGCGTGCATCATGGGGGCATGTCTGTGTCTCAGTTGTGGCGGTCGACCAGACAGACATAACACACCCAGAGTTTCTAACCTCCCACTTAGGCCGTCATCCCCAAATCTTGAGCTCTGAAGTCTAAAGATCAAAACCTCAGCTTTTAACCTAGAGCTGTGTGTGCTAGGCTAGACCCCACGCCGTACTTGCTGGACATCCTAGACATTCCTGAACCCTGAACCATACACACCCACCCATCTCTGAACCGAAAACCCTCGCAGACTCCATCCGAACGCCTCAGGCACAATCTTAAAACGACACCGAACTCCCCCACAAAAAATCCGTCGGCCTCGCACCCCAAATGCCGGCGGCCCTTCCGAGGCTTCCACTCTTGAGAGAGATGGTGGAACTGCTGTTTGCTGGTGGACTTCTTTCGGTGATTTTTGCGACTGAGACATTTGCCATGGGCTTGAATATGCCAGCAAAGTCCGTGGTTTTCACAGACGTTGTGAAATTTGATGGACGGGCACGCCGCATGCTGGACTCGGGCGAGTTTCGGCAGATGGCTGGTAGAGCTGGCCGGCGAGGGCTGGATCGAGAAGGCTACGTTTACGTCATGCTGCACAGCGACAGGATTTTGCAACGTCCTGCTGCTGAGATGATAGCAAGCCTGTACACCGAAAGGCCTCCAGAAGTATTGAGTTGCTATCGACTTCGGTGGTCGTCATTGCTTCACTTGGTTTCCGCTAGCCCGGCACATCTGGATGCCATGCTATCCCGAAGCCTGCAAAGGTATACGTCACCCGACGCAGCAAAGTCTCTTCAACAAGAGGTGTTTTGCATGGTGCAGGTCCTGGAGGAGCTTGCTTTTGTCGATCAGTCTTGGGCTGCGTTGCCCAAAGGGATTCTGGCATGTCACCTTTTTGTGCCGGAGGACCCTCTGCTAGTAGCAGACGTCCTCATTGCCCTTCGTGGCTTTGCAGACTACTCTGCTGCACAGGCGTTTGCCGTTTGTTCGGCATTTGTGGCTGAAGGGTCTTACGGCGAGCCATCGGTGATTTCTGATTCCAAAGTCAAGGTTGGTCTGGAAACTTGTCGGCAAGTGGCACAGAAGCTAGCTGCAAAGCTGCACTCTCACAACCTTCCGTGCTGTAGCAAGTGTGGCTTGTTGAGGCAGCCCGCGCCTAGTGTGCGCGGGCGTGGGTGTAGTGGTATGGACATGATAAAAGCTCGTGTGAATCCGAAGCTGTGTGAGACAGCATACCAGTGGGCACTGGGACAGAATTTTGCAACGGCGGTGCTTACCAGTGGTGTTGCACTGGGAGGCGAAGGCATTGTAACAAGAGCTCTCCGACGGCTAGACGAGCTCATGCGCGAGATCACCTTTGTGCTGCGGCACGACCTCGCGTCGCCTGAGGCAGCACAAAGAATTCAGACGGTTCGACTCTCGGCGAGACGAGGTGTCCTTGCGGCACCATCGGCTTACTTGGGGGAGGCAGAGGACCGAGTTGGTGAAGAAATCGAAGCAGAGCCACCTTGGCCGAAAGAAGCTTTGGCTCCAGGATATCGGGGCAACTTGGATCCCTTGGAGATCGGTTTCAGCCAGTCGCACTGCAAAGCTACATTCCAGAGACCTCCCGTTCTTGGGGGGCCTGAGGACATCGAGGGCTTGGCGAGGGCTCTGAGCGATGGAACCATAGATCCCATGCGCGTCAACCCGATAAGACTTTACTGGTTCCGGCATCGCTACTACTCCTTGGACAACCGGCGACTGGCAGCTTTCAGGCTTTGGCGGCTCCTTGTCGAAGATGCAAAAGCACCCGTTGTCGTCCTTAACACCAGCCAGGCCTTGAGTGGACGATGGCTGAGCAAGTTTACCACAGGGTTTACAGGAGGCCGAAAGATTCGAATAACTCAAACGGAACTTTTCGTCGGTCTCACCCGTGAGCAGTCGACCTTCGGGTCCCATCTCTGGTCTACTGAGCTGCCGGAGAAATGGCTGTCTGTACGGAAGCTGTTAAGAATCAAGGAACCTTCAGAACAGGAACCTTCGGACAAGGTGTAGCCTTCTTGGGTCCTGCGGACTGCTGAGCTGCGATCAGGCACCCCCGAAGTACACCCAGGAAAGCTGGAGCCTTGAATGGAGCCCTCACGGAAATGGCAATCTATGCCCCTGGCGCATCAAATCCCATTTTCCAAACTCAACTAGTACAACCCTGTGCCCGGAACCCTAAACCCTAAACCCTATGCCCGGACAATGGAACCGACCGAATCCGCAGACTCCTTCACCAAGCTCCTAAGCCCTGGGCCAAGAGCCGCCTGCTTTGTGACAGGAATCCTCAGCAGCGTGGAGGAGGAGACCAACTCGAAGCTTGGCTTCATCCTGCACGTTTTCCGGTGTACACGACAGGAACCATGGTAGTATAAATGGGCGTGATAACTGGAATAGCGTTCCTTCGAGTTCCTTCATCATGAATGATCGTATTCTGTATTCGTCATATGCATCCAATGTAATGTTTCAATCAGTGGCAGTCATCATAGTCAGAAAGGTGGGTCCATCGCACCGTGGGTTCTGTTTTAGTCACTGAGTATCACTTAGTTTAAAGTTTCTGGCTTGTAGGGTTAGCGCTTGGGTGTAGTAGCAGTGCATGCTTCGGCAGACTCACGCCCTCGAAACCCTTCTCGAACTAGGTACTTCGACATTGGTGCCGTGGCGCTCTCGCTGTGCTGCCGGGAATCTCAAAGCATCGAGCCAGTCCAGGTTAGTTACGCATGTTGACAATAAGATTCAGACATGTCCCAAAAAACGATATAAATGCCATGATCAAATCTCACAGTCACCAGCATGAACTAGGCTTTGTCGGGCTATGCCGCTATGCCGTATCAGCGCCGATTTTTAAACTTTAGAGGGATTTGGGGGACAGGATTTGGCTGCTTGGGGTTTTCGGATTTCAGGTTGCTGGTCTGGGGATGAAGTGGCTGAGCCACGGCTTGAGGGAGGGGGTATGGTTCTGCGTCTGAAATCGAACCCAGTCCTACAAGCCTATACAAAACCTCAAACGCAGATGCTCACTACCACTGGACCCTAAACCCGATGCTGTACGCAAGGTGCAGGTGAGGCCCAGGTGTCGAGGTTCCGGTCACTGGCTTCCTAGTCCCGCTTTGGTCTAGATGCACTATTGGTGTAGCCGAAACTGTCGAGGCGAATGGATGCGAAGGGGATGCGTGGGGGGTTTGTAAACCGGATGGGATGGATAACTTGGATCGTCGCGGTTCTCCCCCTCGCCGGACTGCCCCTGCCGGCATGGCATTCCAACTTGGGACGCCCCAGGTGCAAAAGAGGCGATTCGCAAATATCCACGATGCTACATGTATGTGGCACTTCTCCTCACTGTGCGTAACTACGCCCTCAACTTCCCTAAATCCCACAGCCTCAACCTACACAAGCCTACAGTATCCTCCAATCCTTGAGCCTACAAAGCCATTTGTAGACGAGCATGGACCCCAAACACACCACCGCATTCAGGTACCCGTAGAGAACCCAGAGACTCCAATATCCCTGAATAAAGGAATATACGTTAAAACATATTAAGGGTCCTACTATAGTTTAAGAAACAAGTCTTAATTAAGGGATATTGGAGTCGCTGGGAAACCTTGTTTTTCGGCCTACGGCCCGCTTCCGAGGCGCCGCTAGGGCAGAGGGCGCTTCTGAGGGCATTGCGGGACGCTGGCGCGAGCTGAGGGTGCGGCACGGAGAGTGTGTACTTTAATTACTTAGTAATTAGTAATTATTAATTTAGAATTAGCAACTTGTAACATTTAGTTTTGGTGCGGATTTTGAGGCCTAGAGGGTTGGGGGATCAGGGGTTAGGCTAAGGGTTCTGGCTTGGAGGGAGTTTTGGTTTTGCGTCGCGAGATGGCCTTGGGGCTCCGAGGTGTCGTGGTAGGTCGGGACCATTAAGGTTCTTCTTCAGGGTGTAGGATCCCGGCTTCACGTGCATATTCGACTGCACATGCACAGATACGCATTGAGTTACTGATCGACTCGGAACCTTGGGAAGCTACTGGCGCCGTGGGATCGCGCGAGTGCATCTGCAGTGTCGTTTTTGGAATGGCCTGCCCTGTTTTTTTGTCAAACTTGGGGCTGACGATCAGATAAACTCTTTACCCCATGTAAGCACCACAATTAGGACAATTAGGCCATGTAAGCAACCCTAAGTCTATGAGCTTTCGACCCTCCTGGTGAAGAGGTGGCGAGCCATTGGCAACACCACCTTGCAAGGCAGAGTTGGGTTCCTGAGTTCGGCGATGCGCTCTACAACATTTAGGGTGCGGTTCCTTCCCACCCATGGGTGTCGTTCCTTTTGTCATGGTTTCGACGGTTTCATGGAGCTCGCATGGGGTACCTCGGCCCAGTTCAGCAGCACTATGATCAGTACCATTGTCGTCGTCGAATCCAGCCTGACGCAATCATGATCTCTTGCTTGTCATTACAAGCATTCTTGTCGCGACATGTGTAGAAGTCGAGTCGTGCAACCGACAGACCTCGAAGTGTCGATGATCCTCCGCTCCCTCATGGTTTGACGGGCACAAGGGTTTGAATGCAGCGCTTCAGAAGCAGGGTTTGAGTCCAGGAGTTGAAAGTTTGCAGAAGCCAGGCCGGACTGTGCGAGACCTCTAAGCGACCTTAAGCCCGCGAGCCCAGCAGTCACCAGTGATGGTGTGCATTTCCACTTCTGCCAAGTCTACCTTAGGTGCAGGGTTTAGGGTTCCCTGGGAGGCTTTGTGACACCACTTGGTGTTACTGGATCCGTGGGCCCGGCATGAGCTTAAAGCACGTGCGCCCGCGCGCGTGTGTGTGTGTGTGCATACAAGCATAGACACAAACATATGTGTATACAGTGTACATGCATACCGTATATCATATGCACATTATGCACATGCACATATGTACACAGACATATATTCATATATTTATTTATTTGCTCTTCGCATGAGCACGTCTTGTCTTGATTAAGAAATACCAGCATTGACACCGGCATTGAAAAAATGAATCTCAATGCACCCCAACCAGAGGAACCAAGAACCAAGATGCCCAGGACTCTTGAAGCTTGGATGTGGGTTCCTCGGGTTGGGGTGCCTTGAAGTTCAATTTGTCAATGCAGATCTCAATGCAGCCAGCCTACGGGCCTACGGAACCAAGATTCAAGATTCGAGAGCCATGGGCATCTTGGTTCTTGGTTCCTCTGGTTGGGTGCATTGAAGTTCATTGAATATTCCTCCAACAGCGGTATGTCGACCTGCTTGACCCAGTCCGACCCAGGGGCTCTGTACAGCTAGCCTGCAACATGCAGCTGGTCATCGTGCCAGACAATGGCATGCACCACATCCGTTAAGCACATAAAGTTTGTGGACGGAACGAAAGTTCTTCCACCATACTCGCCATGTGCACAGGCCAGCCCTTGGAAATCGACTTCCCGACGGTGGTCGTGCTTTCCAGTACATGCTTGAGGGCACTGGCGGGTTCCAGGTGAGGTACCAACAGCTGATTCCTGCAGGCGCCCCCCACAAGGTGCCGAAGGAAGCTCAAAGCATTCGTCGGGGCTTTGCGTTTATCAAAGACCAGGGTCCAGAAGATAATGCTGACGGCCAGTTTACGACCTGGATCGAAGAGCAAGTCAATGACCCCTTCGTGCAAGTGGGAGCGGGGCATTATCAAGGAGCTTGAGATGCCTAGCAGATTCCGGGGCTCAGGCCAGTACGATTAAGGAATGGCCGGCTAGCTCGTACTCTATCGCCTTTTGTTACTACGGCGGTGCCGGGGATGGTGGTTGGTTGGATAGGACGCTAGTGCACAACCTCTTTGCGTGTGATGGTGATGCAACCTGGCATGGTGAAGTCTGCAAGATTGCATGTTGCGTGGCGAAACGGCGTATGGCCTTTTGCTGCGGTTGTATCTTACCTGCCGGTCATTGTCGCGTGGGACCCCACGTAGAACGGGCGGGTGCGAGAGCAGGCGTGGCCGTACTCCCAGTGGCCGTGCTCTCAGGACCCGGGTGTGAGAGCAGGCATGGCTCCGCACCGCGGCCCGTGAAATGGTCGACCCAAGGATGTAGCAAACGTAGCAAACGTTACTAGAGGGAAAACAGTATATGCGCATATGTATCTGTGTATGTATGTATGAATGCATGCATGCATGCATGCATGCATGCATGCATAGATGTATGTATGTATGTATGTATGTATGTATGTATGTATGTATGTATGCGTGTATGTAATGTGCCAAGACATGTAATTCAGGTTCAAGTTATGGGTTAGTGTTATGGGTTTGAGCAAAGAGCTGCGTAAGTTTGAGTCTGCCGTTGGTCTGCCTGCTCTTGAGTTGCCGGAACCTCTGAGGTTCAGGATGTTCAGGTATCGTGATGAGGGCATCGGGTTTAGGGTTGAGGGGGTTGAGAGTGCCGGCAAGACTGGCAGCAGTGCGGTGGACGGAAGCTCCTGCAAGCGCCAGCATTCCAGGTGAGCTCCTGCCGGTGCTCTTGGAAGAGCTGCGAGGAACTGCGTTGGTGACCCGAGGTAATATAAATCCCTACAGCCCAAAGTTTGAAACGCCCAAAGTTTTATTCCGTAGCTCTACACCCTGGTCTTCGGAAGGGGGCGTCATGCAAGACCCTCCGGGTTTAGGATCTGAGCCCATGTCTGGCAGAGCTTATGCGTTTGCTAGTGGACAGGACTCTTGATTAATTTAATACACATCTCACGGCTAGGCACCAAGCACTCCAGCACCCCAAAACCAGTGTTTGCAGCGAAGCTCGAAACCCGAAGCTTTAAACCCCATGCAAAGCATAAGCCCCAAGCCCCAACTAAGCTTAGAACCGCTTCCAAAACGGGAGGTATCTGCGCTTCCGTGGCTCTTCGCGGCCTTTGCGGCCCCCTTGGAGGCGCTGGTACCCGAAGGCGCTGGTACAGGGTGCTTCTCAAATTACGTGTTTCCTCTTGCCTGCAGCTCAGAGTCCTTCATGGTCCTTATAACGGGGGTCTTACCATGGCGGGTTCTGTGTCAGAGTCTAATTTGTTTTTCTGTTGTTGATGCTGTCAGGTCGGTCTCACCTTTACCTGCAGTTCCTTCGCTATTTAGAGATTGTAACAATATCTTCTTTACATCGCGTTCACAGCAGCTTGAGTCAGGGGCTTGGGGTTAAGGAGTTAGGCTTTCGGAATTCGGATACTTCGGCCTGTGATTCAGGTTCACGACGAGATGCTAGATAGTAGGATCCTTCTTCCATTCACCCTTCTTGAGCTCCAAACCCCTGCAGCAACACCGGACCCTCCGGAATTCCATGTCATTCTGCCTGAACCTCAAAGAAAACAATAACGGAAACTTGAACTTTAAAACCCTAAACTATGACAAACGCCAGAAATCCTGAATCCTTTTGGGCCAAAATCCTAAATCCTTTTGGGCCAAAATGTGCGCAAACGTCCAGTTCTCTTCGTGTAGTCAGCCCGGTGAGGCCGCGCCAGGGACGCACTTCTCGTGGAGCTGCGCAAGGCATTGGAGGTGGGAAGACCCTTTGGCTTCATGTAGAGGTCTGAATATAAAGTAGTGATAGTGTCGCATGAAAGTGACAGTAAGAACAAGTATACCCTAATATACAGCAAAGTAGCCCTATTCTCATAAATGAGGCCCGTACGATATGGGGTTTGGGAGAATCCCCCAGTCCCAAAGTCCGAAACGCCAGATCCCCCTCTCCTGCCCTCTTAGACTCAAGCCAATCTGATTCCAAAAGGCTTCAGAGGTTGTCGGATCCCGACAACCTTCAGAAAACTGACAGCATCAACGCCTGGTGCTGGAGAAGTGATTTCAGGTCTTTGGTTGAAGGCAGGTTTAAGCACTCGCTCAGCAAAGAAGTAAAGAAGGTGGGCATCATGCAGCCTCTCTGTGCCAAGATCGAAGAGGCCTTCCTGGGTGTTCAGGTTGGGGAGTTCCGAAACATATTTCTTGGCTTTGGAATGGAGCATTCGCGGCGAGGCTCCGATCATGGTCCGAGACCGTGTGCACATTGGGGTTTTGCACGTTACTTGCACAAGCGTGCAACTTTTCTCAGCCTCATGTCATAGAGTGAAGTCATGTCCCAAATTCCATATTATCAATTTCTTATACTTAGGCTCGACAATAAGTGGCAGGATCTGCGGCTGCTGGCGCATGCAACGATGCAGGCACTGGACTCGCTCCGTTAGATGCCCCCTTCCCCGGCATCCCCAGGAGGCAAACTCACAGTTTCGAGATGCCCAAAGCAATAAAGCCTACCCTAAATCCGTCGTCGCTTGTTCTCCTCAAGGGGCCGCACGCAGGCCAACAAAGAAGCGCTGCCGCTTGCCCCACCGGAGGAGCATTCCGGGCTGAAGCACAATTTGCATACTGATCGCAACGATTGGCTACGTTTGTGGGTCATGAATCAGGACCCCTGCCTTGTCAGAATCACAACTCTCGAGGACACGAATTCACGGCCGGATACGGCAGGATTTTTCTTGCTGTAGATGGCCTGAATTGTTACCAACATTATACCTTAGGGCCTTAGGGCTCCTTATTCAAATTACGGCATAGGGTACCCTACTCACTCGTCTAATTATGAAGACCCCTCTATGAATGAGATTCCAAAGCCCTCGCAGCCCGACAAGGCTGTAGCTGGGGTATCCATGAGCCGGCAATGAGATTGTAAAACCTCTAGACCCTGAACCCAAAACCCCCAAACCCCAAACCCTACACCCCTAAACCCGAAACCCCCAAACCCTAAACCCTACACCCCTCAACCCCAAACCCCCAAGCCAAAAACCCTGAAGCCCCCCAACCGGCGTAAGCTGAGGGCTTGGGGGGCTTGTCATGGAGGCTCTCGTGCTGCTACGGTTGCGGCCGCTGCGGCTGACGGCCACTGACGTCGTCGACCTCAAGGATCAGGCGTTGTTCGGGGCTTTGCGGTCGGGTCTATACTAGAAATCAGCCATCAATGATATTCCGGGTTTGAGGTGTGAAGGCGCAGGGTAATCAGGGCCCTGGGCATAACATGTTGCACGTTGATGTCTGCTTTCTTGGTTTCGTGCACCGCGAGCCCTGGCCGCAGCTGTTAATAAGCGGTTTAGGGTTTAGGGTTTGGGGTTTAGGGTTTAGGGTTTAGGGACACGTGCTCCAGGGATTTTAGGTCCTGGGCGTGGATTAGAGCGACTTCACCGGGATGCACAGCCTTTGTGACGCTTTGTCAGGACGCTGTGCTGAAGAGCGGCTTAAACCGCCATGCTGAGCATTTCGGGTGCATGTTAAAGTGAAATGTGGTTTGAGAAAGATGGATTTTGGCTGTTTCATTGCCCTGGCATTTGACAGGCGCCTGGATTTTTCTTCTTCGACACGAGATTTAAAACAAGCGTCATTCAGATGCCCCCGTGTGCCAGATGGGTGCATGTTGCGATTTGCGCTTGCAATGATTTGCACCTTCTTTCTCCTTCGGCAACAAGTAGAACAGCCGAACACCCCCGAACACTACGCCACTAGGCCCTAAAACGTAAGGTCCTAACCCCCTAAAGCCCAAAAGCCTAAACCCATCCTAAACCCTAAACCCTAAATCCTAAACCCTAAACCCTATAAACCCTAACCCTAAACCCTACTGTTTCATTCAGAAACTGCCGGAAGCCGTAGCCATGAAGAGGTCGAGCTGCGGCTCAGCCGCCACTTCTACGACCTGGCTGCGCTTGCACCTCAAGATGCCGAGGCCCGCTTGGCCTTGGGTTTAGGGTTCAGGGTCTACCTTAAGAACCCAAGACCTACTTCTTTGTAGGGTCCCTATAAATCCCATATTAGGGTTTATAATAAGAACCTGCAGCAAAGTGGGGTTGGGTTTAGGGTTTACGGTTTTGGGTTTAGGGTTTAGGGTTTAGGAGTTCTGAGTTCTGGTGTAACGAAGAAGGGTATTGGAACTGTGAAGTTGTTTATGTAAATGCGGAGTTGCAAGCTTCCTGAGGATTTTAGAGCGGTTTTGAGCACCTGAAAGAGCTGTATCGGTTGCTTTTTCGATAGATAAGCTTGCTTTTGGAAAGGGCTCCTTGCCAAATTGCTAAAGGATCTAACTAGAAGGATTATTTCATGGGTTTATAGGAAGAACAAAGGCTGCTTCCCTTGCTACGATAATTTGAACTAAGTTCTTCAGACAGAACCCAGCTCTATGTGTGTATAAAAGGTACCACATGCCTCTGCACACATGTAGATCATCGACAGATCTAGAGACCCGAAGACATCGGGGTCGCAAACACACCCAACTCCAATGATGCATTGGGGTTCAGTGGTTTAGGGTTCAGAATGTAGGATCTGCGGGTTTCATAGGGCCCCAAAATTTTAGCCACTAGCCGCTGTCATCCTTGGTCCTGCTCCCCAAGCCCCGAAGCCTCATGCCAGGAACCGACCCTGAACCTGAAGCCCTTAAGCCTTAAACCCTATAAACCTTGACCCTAAGCCACCAAACCGCAAACTCTAAACTCAACCAGTCTTTCTCCGTCGACTTTCTGGAGGCCTATGCCCGGATGCGCTCTGTGGCGCTGCAGCGCAGGGGGGCCCAGTGGGCTCCGGTTCAATTCAAAGGGTCTGTCCAGGGTCTAGGCTTGAAAAGGTTTCTAGTAGGGGTTTTGGGTTTAGGGTTTAGGGTTTAGGGGTTTTGGCGTTCGGGTCCAGGGTTGCTGTTTGAGGGATCAGTCGGGTTTGTTGTTCAGGTTCAAGGCTTCTAGGGCGGGGTTTCAGGGCGGCACAGGTTCGACATCCCAGGAGCCCGGCTGAGTCCAGGTTTCTACCATCGCCAGTTGTCGTGCGTTATCCCGATCTCCACACGCCAGAGCCTGCAAAACCTGAACATCTCAAGATCGAAAGCACGCAGCCTTGATTCTGCTTGATCTCAGGGCTTATCACGATTGCTATTCTTGCTATGATGATATGAAGATCATGGAATCTTCCTGTCATGCGAACCGGCAACCAGCCTGGTTGTTGTGCTAAGTCCTAAACTCCAAACCTCAAATGCCCCCTCACCCCAAAAACCCTAACACCCCGACCCCCTAAGGGCCTGAAGCCCTTTCCTGCTTTGTGTCCTCATCTCTTTGCAACAGGATATGGCCTGGACCTCCTCGACGGCGGCTTGCCAGCCGGCTCTCTTGCGCAGGGGTCGTCGCCCCAGGTGCCGGGTTCAGAGACCAAGTTTGCGGGCTTCTGTGGTTCGTGCGGCTTTTGGAGGGGTTAGAGTCGGTTGGAGTTTCTGGGGTTTGCGGTCATTGGATGGTTCCAGATGTCTTGGCTTAGTGTGAGCTGCCCCTCAGCCTCTTGGTGACCTGGTCTACTGGCTTCAGGCTTAACGTCTGAAGGGTTTCTGGCGCAGGAGCTCGAGTTACTATACCCTCGCCCAAACTGAGGCTGGATGTGATTGACGTGATGCGGAACGTTCACCTCTTGGCCACACAGTGCCATCCAGACAACGGGTTCTGAGGTGATTGTCATCAGCTCCTGGTTTCAGGGAGTCTTGGGAGCTTGCGCACAGGTACTGCTACAGTCTTCACCAGCAGTTCTTTACGCAGGCCTGGGCAGTAGCCTTGCTCCGGGCTGGGGTCCCTGGTTGATGCCATGTGTTTGGCACGTTCTTGGGCCCTTCAGCTGAGAAGCTCTGTCTTCAAACCGGTGTCTTTACGAGGCCCACGCTCAAATCCAAAATGAGCTGAAAGTACCACCTAGACCCCCTAGACCCCAAAGTTCAAATCTAGGCGTAAAGCCAAAGATTCATGCTCTCGAGTAAGTTTTAAGGAAAGCAAGCAGCTGTGTTACAATGAGAATTCAAGAGCGTTTGTCCATGCGTAGCACAGAGGCTTCCAACCAGGGCGAGGCGAAGATTCGAACGATCACGGTGGAGTCGCTCGGCTGAGTTGTTAATTTGAGACTATTTTGCAAGGAGGCTTGTTTTTGTCCTCGTTGTCGATGCTTGCTGCTTCGTTTGTGTTGGCGTGATGACCCTGCACGAGATGATGATTGTTGGTCTTATTGTTCTTGGTTATGAGAGATGATGATGACGATGATGTTGATGACGGTGGTGACGATATCGACGGTGACAGAAAGGTTATGAGGCGTCTGGTGATGGTGGCTATGTGCGTCCATGATGACGATGCAAGAATGCCGATGCTTGAGATGATGACGGCCGGAGGGCGTCTGCCAAAAAAGTTTGCCGAACGGTTGGGTCCTGACTGCTGTGCTTCCGCCGAAAAAAGTTGTCCAGTCCCTTTCGAACATTGCTGCATTTGATCTGGTGGGGTAAGTGCCCTTTCAGGATTTTCCATGATTTTCAGTCCGGGCCTTTCCAGGTGGTGCTGTGCAGATGCAGGTCTAAATCCAAAGAGGGGCAGCGGCCGAGAACCTTCAAAAACCTTCAGCTAAGCTTCTTAGCATCAACCCCGAAGCCCCAATCCCTGGTTTAGGGTTTTAGGGGTTAGGGTTTAGGGTTTAGGGTTTAGGGCATGTAAACGCTAAGCCCTCGTCTGTGTTTTGCCCTCATGCTCCGAGGCACCTGGCTGCCTCGATCCGCGTCCATGGCTACGGAGTCATCAACACCGCCCGAGCTCCCAAGCCTGGGGGAAGAGCTCATCGCCACAGCCGTCTTTGAAGTCAGAGACCGGTCTAATTATAGACTATAGATGTACATGCATGCATACACATGTACTTTCGTGCGCAGATGCCCTTCGGCATCCTGTGTCATCACAGCCTGCGTTGTAACGGGCGTGCGTCAGGCTTTTGGGTGCAGAGTTATGCACCCCAAAGCCGGCCCCCAGAAGTCGGAAGACCCGAATCCCCAACAACTCCCCCAACTTTCAGGATCCTAAGCCGAAGCTCAACCCCCAAACCCCAAGCCAAAAGCCCCTAAAGTCCCTGATCCCTGGGCGCCGTCCCAGAAAGGCCGTGAACTACAGCGTTGGCTTCATCAAGCGCAAGCTCGAGGCCGGCAATTCAAAGCTTTAGCCTTCAGCGTTTGGGGGTTTAGGGTTAAGGGTTCAGGGTTCGGGGGGTCGTGGGTTTTTTAAGGGAATTTTAGGGTTAAGATTTTGGGGATTTAGGGCTCGGGTTTGCAGCTTCTGGATTGAACTAGTAGCACCAGTTGTCGAGGAGCAGTAGTTGTCGTGGTCGTCGGAAGAAGCTGCGGTCGGGCGCCGCGTCGCCGCCGCCGTCGTCGTGGTAATTGTCGCTGTTAAGGCGGTGCTGGTAGTCCCGGTGGCCTGCAGAACTGTTTGGCGACCCCGCGCTGCATCAAAGAAAGTCGAGTTGGGGATCAGAGAACCCTAAGCCCTGATGGACCCCGGCTTCGCTACTGAAGGTTGGGAGTTATGCGGGAGGGCTTCAGGGACCTTGGCAGGTTCCGCTCGGAAGCCAGGGGTTCAGGGCTTCGTGTGAGTTTGGGAGCCGAGGTAGCACCTGGTATAATGTAAGGATGATTTGAGGTGCGTCTGAGAGTCTGAGGGTGAGGAACCCTGAAGCCTCGTGGCGTCGTCAGTTTTGTGACATGGTGTGTACAGGAGTATTGGATTTGTTCCGATGTTTTGAACGTCCGGGCTATGTACGGTCCAGGGTTTCGGGCTTGTGTCTTCGTCTCACAATCTTTCCCAAATGTGTGCTCAAGGTAACTGTGAAGAGATGCACAGGGATCCTGGATGTGGAGCATTCGACCCTGCTCCAGTCGCTGTAACTCTTGGCGGTACAAGGCTGTACTTCGAAGCATCAATATATTGCCTTACTGTCAACATGGTCATCACCTTACCGGAACCTTACCGCTACTGCTATTACTATTATAGCTTCAGAGGATTCGGGAGAGTCGGTGGAAGTTCAGGGTATATGCAGCATGGAGGGCCTGCCTGACGTGGTGCAAGACGTGCTCTCTGGCAAGGGTGTTCTGCACCAGCGCAACTTCAACAATGCGATCAGCTGCTGTTGGGTCCGAAAGGTATCGTTTTGGGCTTCTTTACACAGCGATTAAGTAGATATCTTCGAAGGGTCAGATGTTGTGCCTTTCGTGGTCTTCCCCGCTGCACTTCGTATGGGCATCGTTTCCGTCGAGCAAGCTCTTGCTTCCGGGATCTTTCGGGTCTCGCATGTGTGCAGTAGTTCGGAATGATGCTTGTAGGATCCCCAGCTTTCTGGCACTCAGGCTGCGGGAAGGCCCGGCAGTGGCAACTTGGTCTCCACCTGCTGTCCTCCATGCCCACCGCGAAAGCGTCCCCTGATGCGGTGAGCTTCAGTGCGGCCATCTCCGGCTGCGAGAAGTCAGGTGAGTGGCAGAGGGCCACGTATTTGCTGAGGCAGATGCTGGAGGTTCAGGTGGGAGTTTCCGAAAATAGGGGACCCGAATATAGTACCCTAAATAGTAGGACCCCTATTATAAGGACCTCAAAATAAGGTACCCTTAGTTTTGGAAACTCCCAGGTCTCCCCCAGCGTCATCAGTTTCAATGCTGGCATCAGCGCCTGCGAGAAGGGAGGCCAGTGGGAAAGAGCCTTAGAGCTCCTTTTCGAGATGCCCTCAGCTGAACTTCTTCCCGATGTCATCAGCTTCAGTGCAGGGATCAGTGCTTGCGAGAAGTCGGGGCACTGGCAGCAAGCCCTCCAGCTCCTATCGCAGATGGAGGCGCAGGGGGTGAGGACCGACGTAATTTGCTGTAATGCGGGCATCAGTGCTTGCGAGAAGGGTGGTCAGTGGCAGATGGCGCTCCACATCTTCTCGGAGATGCCCAAAGCCAGACTGGCTGTTGATCCAGTCAGCTACAACGCCACCATCACGGCGCTGGAGAAGAACGAAGAGTGGCAGCAGGCGCTACAACTCTTTGAGGGTATGCCATCAGCCAGGGTTGCTCCGAGCACCGTCAGCTTCAATGCTGCCATCAGTGCCTGTGAGGTGGTTGGTCAGTGGCAAATAGCCGTGGGCCTTCTTTCCGAGATGAAGGCCGTCGGTGTAAGAGCCAATGTCATCAGCTTCAGCGCCTGCATGAGCACCTGCGAAAAAGCTGGTGAGTGGCAGATGGCACTGCACCTCCTCTCAGAGATGCCTGCAGTCGAGCTGAGACCGAACGTTGTGAGCTTCAACGCCGCCATCAGCGCCTGCGAAAAGCGTGGGCTGTGGCAAGCGGCACTCCATCTGCTGTCTGGCTTAGCAGCCCGAAAGACTGCCATGACTGCCATCACCTTCAATGCAACCATCAGCGCTTGCGAGAAGGGAGGGCTGTGGCGAGAGGCTTTGCAGCTTTTCTCGGACATGCCGGCAGCCCACCTTGTCCCAAACGTGATTAGCTACAGTGCCACAATCAGTGCATGCGAAAAAGCCGGGCAGTGGCAAATGGCTCTGCAGCTCTTGTCAGACATGCCCGATGCCGGTGTCGCGGCCAATGTGGTCAGCTACAATGCCGGCATCACCGCCTGTGAGAAGGCTGACCAATGGGAGTTGGCACTGCAGCTTTTCGCACAGATGCCACGGGCCGAGGTGACAGGCAGTGTGATCAGTTTCAGTGCCGGGATGAGTGCATGTGAGAAGGGCGGCCAGTGGCAGATGGCCCTTCAACTTCTTGCAGACATGGAAGCAGCAGATGTAAGAGCCAACGTCTTCAGCTACAATGCAGGCGCCAGTGCCTGCGAGAAGGCCGGGCAGTGGCAGCTGGCTCTTCGCTTGCTCTCCGAGATGTTACAGGTAGAAGTTGCACCGGATGCTTTTACTTATAGCTACTGCGTCAGCGCCTGCGACAACAATGGCCGATGCCGATGGGTCTTGCAGCTGCTGGCGGAGATGCCCTTGCCAGGGTTTTGCTTTTCGTGAAGGTTAGGCTCCGAAATTCCAGTCGATCCAATTCCGCTGAATTCGTGCACGGCCCTGGAGTCTCTAGTGCCATGCAGTGCAAGTTTTGCTTGGAAGTCCGGTCAAGCAGCCACGAGGCTTGAATCCGCTTTCCGGCATCAGAAACGGAGCTTCGGTACGAAGGTGGTGATTTCTATGCCATTCTATGCACTCTGATCAGCACACCTGCGGTTCCTGCCTGTCAGGTGGTGGCCGAATTCCTTGCCGATGAATCTGCCCCTTGGACTCCGAACCCTAGAGCTCCGAAGGCATCCGAAGGCCGACGGTCACAGGACTCTGACAAACGTACTAGCTAGTTCATGCTAGTTAAAACCTCCTCAGTACGGCTGAGCAACCGAATCTAAGTCCCAGCGGTAGACTTCGCAAGTGCTTCCACTTCCATATTATTGCTGTGCTTCATCAGCACATGTCGAGCAGGGGCCACGGGCCGCACTGACTGTTGCGGGTCCGTCGCAGAGGATAGTGACCTATCTTCAGAAGCGAGAACAGGATCCATTTCTTGCCTTTGTTCTGCCGCATTACGCCTGAAGTTGGCATGCTCGCCTTAAGCCGACTGCCCTTTTTTCCAGGGTTGTTGGGCTTGCAGGGCTGTTAGGTAGGGTTCACGGCTTAGGTTCCACAGCGCACCAGGCGCAGTTGAAGACACTGTCAGGCCCGAGACCCCAAACCCTAAAACCCAGAGCCCCAAAGCCCCAAAAGCTTTAGAGACTGGTCGCCCCAAACCCAAGGTCAAGTCGCGCCTCCTGGCCGACAAGCAGTGGATGCAGGGGCGGAGTTGCTACACCTGGGTCGGCGGGCCCAGAAGGGTGCCTGCATTTTGTGTTTTGGTGTTTTCAGGGCCCTAAACCCTCAATCTCTCTTAAACTCCCCACTCTCAAACCCCAAAACCCTGAGCCCTAAAAGCCTTGCAGCCCTGAGGCGCGGGGTGTGGAGTCCGCAAAGGTCATCCGAAGGCCCAGGGAACCAGGGAAGCTGGGGGAGCCTTTGGGTTTCGGATGCCTCCGGCGCCTCTGGGTCTCAGGTCTTTCTGTGTTTTTATGTCGCGTTTATGTTAGGGTTTGGAGATTCGGAGTTTAGGAGTTTAGGCTATTAGGGTTTAGGGATTCGGAGTTTAGGAGTTTAGGGTTTAGGGATTCGGAGTTTAGGAGTCTAGGGTTTCGGGATTCGGAGTTTGGGGTTTAGGGTTTAGGGTTTAGGGATGAGGTTTCGGGCTTGAATTGGGGATTTCGAGCCTTCAGGCTCAAGGTTGATGCGAGGACTAAGGATTCTGGGTTGAAGTTTGCTGCACATGGGGAAGGCCGAAGGTGTATAGACTTTTGGGTTTGAGGTCCCGGTATGTACGAAGTAAATTCCTGCACACTTATCCCGGTCCAAGCTTGCACTGTGTTTTCGTTTCTTCAGTTTTGCGTGTGTGTGTGTGTGTGTGTGTTTGTATATTTTGGTTTCGATCGAATATACATCGGTTATTTAAGGTGAACTACGCAGTGTCATCCGGAGCACGCTAGTTTTTGTTCGTTACGTTCCTGTTTCCAAAGACCATAAAGGCACCGACACCCAAAAAAGCAGAGTTTTTCGGCACAGCAGATTTCTGAATGAGCACCTTGAGGGACAGGGCTGCTGGGTTGGGGAAACCCTAAACCCTAAACCCCTACAACTAAGCCTCAACGAGAAGGGCTACAGGGGCCCCGACTGAATGTTCCCTGGTAGGGTCGCTTTCAGAGCTTTAGAAGGGTCTGTAGGGCTTCTGATTGATTTTCAAGGTTTTGAATGGTATTCCTCTCTTACAGGAACCCTGTAGATCTCTAAACGCCCTGGAAGCCCTTAATGCAGGGCTTTGGCGTGTACTGTACTGTCATCATACTACAGAGCCAAGGTGCGCAGTATTCCAACTATGCAGCATTCCTTATTCTAATTATTCTAACTGTTCCGAGATGCTCAGCTCCTCACAGAGCGAAGCATTTTTTTGGTTGGGACAGGCCACAGAAAGCTGAAGCAGCCCGAAACACCCCAAAACGCATAAGACAATGCCAGCACCCTGAATCGCTGAGGCCGCAACCACCTTGTCCCAAAGCTTGGTGCACCCGAAAGTGCCACACCGAAAGCGATTTTAAAAACCGAGCTACCCCGCAAGCCTTCAATAGTGAGACTAGCAATCAGCAACACCGAGACGAGTTGAATTACCGTGTCGTCTCTGTCTACAGATAGACTATGTGTATATATTTGTTTCTACATTGAATGCTGAACAGTTCGCCACTGCACATTGATATGTAATTGCCTTTTCACACGGCGCATTTGCTAGAGCAAGCAAGCATTATGCATTATGACTGGAGGAAAATTACACAGAAGCAGAAGAAGCAGCACTCAGATACATATAAACGGAACGCTACGTAGGTAGACAGGCTGATAGATCAATGCGTAGATGTAAGGCCTGATTCTGCAGAATCGAAACAGACTCTCTCCGCTACCCAAGCCCCTCACAGGCTCGGTGCCGGGCGCGATGGTGCCAGGCGCCCAGAGTGCACTCCCGTCACATGGTCAAACTACGTCCGCCAGATGGCGATCAACCGCTCGAACCGTTCCCAGGCAAACTGAATCTCTCGCTCTTCTGCTTCTCCTTGGTCAGTGCCGGTATCTGGTATCATGTACTGCCCCGTCTCATGGTCATACGGCGGTGAAGAGGACACCGTATGTATTGCTGGAGCTGATATGTGGAGAGCTTGGGACGGTTGGCAAGCGGGATCCTATGCCATGACCGCCGGCCAACATGATGGCAAAGGGAGCAAGCAGAGAAGAAGAACGGGATCGTGAGGTGGAGGAAATGCGCCCCTCGAGGGTCGGAGGAACTTCGGGACCCTTCGGGCCGATCATTTTTGAAGCGGGTTTAGGGGTGTTTAGGGTTTAGGGTTCAGAGTTTAGGGTTTAGGGTTTAGGGTTCAGAGTTTAGGGTTTAGGGTTAAGCTCGAAACTGCAAGAACTGGCCCGGCACGTGTTCAAGCTCCGCTCCAGAATCTGGGGTGTACTGAAACCCGAAACTCTGCGACCCACAAGCCTCAAACCCTCAAGCCCTAAACCGTATGACCGTACACCCAAACTTAGAAATTCCGATGCCCTAAACCCCGATGCCTTTAAGCCCTATGCCCCCCAAAACACGCGGTCCAGGAAGGGTTTCATGCAACATATTTTGGGTTCGATGATAGTATGCGCCGGTAGTAAGAAGGACATTGGGTCTCGAGTTCCGGGATGAGGGTCAGATTTTCGGGTCTCTCGTTTAGGGCTCAGGGGTTCGGAGTTTGGGAACTACGCCGAAGAAGGGGGGCAAACTCCATGAGGGTCCAGTAAGGTTGTTTTTGGTGTTTCAAGAAGCACCTTGGTGAAACGCTGCAACTCCAAAATCCGAGCAACATGCTGAGACCTGAAGACCACACCGCTGCAGGTGTCTTTCCTGGATAAGCTCCGACAGGCTCGCATGGGGTCTCTGTTTTGGGGTTGGAGGCGTGAGCAGAGGTTGGTGAATTTAGGGCTTGCATCAAGCTTTCCACGACAAGCCATTCCGAGTTTACTCACTTCCGCACTGACAATGGGAGGTGGTGTCGCAGATTGGGAACAGCCTCGGCTATGTTCGGATGGTGAGGCGCAGCTGAGGTAGATTCTGCGCAATATCAGTCAGAATGTCGCATGGAAGGTTGCTTCGGGAACTGGCAGTACAGGTATGGCGGTAGATAGCAAGAGAGGTTCAGCTTGACGAGGAGCGTCCCGATCCAACACGGTTTTTCGAGCTGGCAAGACATCGCGATCACGTCTTGGAGTGCGTCTAGCAATGTTGCAAAACCTGGGAGATGTACAATACCTGTGAAAATTGCCTTTTCGCTTGGTACAGTGGCGGACGCAAACGAAAACCCCACTGTGGAACAACGGCCACCTTACAACGTCTAGCCTTGACCGTGTAGTGGATACAGATTGTGGAGAAGTCTGATTCTTTCACGACCGAGAGCTTGCCGCAGGGCTTGGAAGTTGTTGCAGTGTTCCTTCCGTCAAGGGCTGCGTAAGGCTTAGGCCTTTAATCTCGAGCCTTATCGGGCAATCTTAAACCGCCCGAGGACGGCAGGCATGCGAAGCATGGCCGGAAGCTTGGACTTTCTCGAGGCAGGATGTCACCGAAATTGCAGCAAGGAAGGTTTCTGATGATGGCTCTATGGCGAGGTCCATAGCACATTTGAGGGTGGGGATCAGGTTCCGATGGGCACCAGTCCTCGGCCTCTTTCTTGGGCTCGATTCTGGTCTAGTCTACTTCACGTTACTTTGCTGGCACATTATATTGTGATCGTTGCCATTGTCGTTGTTCCGGCAAAGTAAAGCGAAGGGCTTGGCTTCGGCGGGCATTGCCCACACGTGCCCGCGTGGGTTGACTCCTGACTACTTGGAGGCTCATGGTAATTATAACCCAAATACAACCCAGGTTACAATTATAATTGGGTTATAATTATAGTTATAATTGGGTTATAATTATAGTTATAATTGGGTTATAATTATAGTTATAATTGGGTTATAACTACCATGAACCTCCAACTAGTGGTCTCGGGGTGATTTTTCATCAGCCGTTGCATCGGACCGTGGTCTCCGGGCTGATGCGAGATCGTGTCGTTATGGCATGGCCCTGTATGGGACGGTACCTTATTTTGGGGTCCTTAGAATAGGGGTACTACTATTTAAGGTACCATATTAGGGGACCCTAATATAGTAGTCTCAGAGGCACGGCGGTTCCGCCATCACTAAGCTGTACGTGGCTGTAGCAGTGGCAGGTCTTTTGTCATGACAGCACTGTCAATTGCCGGTATCCCCGCAGCAATAATCACAATGCCTTGAGTGTATTATCGTCCACTACCGACTGCCAATGTTCGAATGTTTGCATGGGATGAATCTTGATCGGAAAGAATTTTCGAGATGCCTGTAATATGTCGTTCGTTTTCTTGTAATGATCATAATGCTCCCATCGCTATCGTACGGTTATCACGGCGGATGCACCTTTGCCGTCTCTCCTGAAGGCGGCTCCTTGGCTAGGTCGACGGGAGCCAGGCGGGGAGATTTTCCACAGCCTTCGATTCAAGAGGTTTGCTGAGGTTTTGGGCCCTGGGACTGTTTCGGCTTTTCCGGCTTCAAGCTTTGTGGGGTCCTGGTGATGATCTCATTGGCACTTCGTGCCTGCTGCCCGAGGCACCATTAAAGCAATCATCGCCCCAAGCACCATGCGATCAGGCGGTGGAGATAGCCTCAGCAATGATTTCTTGGAGGTCGGCTCGGGCTTGCGATGCTGGTAATGTTGCTACCAGCTGGAATGATTGTTACTACCATCTACTACCGTTAGTTGAATTAATCTGGTTCTTACATGTACTTACTTTTTTGTCCAGCTCCACCGCGCCTCGTGAGGCTGCAGAGACCGCGTGTGGAGATGCTGCAGTGAAGGAGGCGAGAAAGGGATGACAGGGCCTGCGGTTGTTCAGCTTTGCACTGAACGGCTGCTTCTCGGGTTTTGGTGGGCCAACTTACGCAACAACTCGGACCAGACGGATCATTGTCGAATAGGGAGCTGCAGCTGGATCCTGGGTTTATGCTCTTTCTGCCCCAATCTCAGGACTCAGTTTGTCAATCAAGGTGCTAGTTGTTAGGGAAAGCTTTGATGGGTCCTTGTGGTGAAGGCCGCGCACCTGGCAGACTCCGCAGCGCGCAGTGTCCGGCGGTGCTTCGAGGATTGACCGAGGGGGGAAGTGAACAGCAGCGTCACATGTAAAGGTCAAGCAGAGCAGAGCGCATGTGCATGATCACCAGCTCGACTGAGTTGGACTTGATCCTCATCACCATGTTCATTACAATTTCCACACGAGCATCTTAGTCGTCATCATATTCATCATCATCATCATCATCATCATCGTAATCACTACCGTCTTCGTATGTCTTCGCCATCATCCTTATCACCATCATCGTCATCGTCATCGTTATCATCATCATCATCATCATCGTCGTCGTCGTCGTCCTCCTCCTCCTCCTCCTCATGATCATCATCATCATCATCGTCATCGTCATCGTTATCATCATCATCGTCGTCGTCCTCCTCCTCCTCATCATGATCATGATCATCGTGATCATCTTCATCACCATCATCTTCATCATCTTCATCATCTTCATCACCATCATCATCATCGCCATCATCATGATCATCAGCAGCAGCACCACCAGCATCACCATCATCATCATCATCATCATCATCACCAACAATACCATCATCATCATCATCATCATCATCATCGTCGGCATCAACATCAGCACCATTGCCATGGTCAGCATCATCATCGTCATATGCAGACACGAACGCATCCTCAGCGTCGGAACAGGCAGTGGCACGAAATATCATCAAGCAAGGTAGGTACTTGTCTCAGTTTGCAGCAGCTAGCATGAGGAAGGTCGAGGCAGCGCAGAACGTTTTCTCTGGGCCCCGGCCCGCCCTTCGTTTCAAGCCTGAGGCTTTTCCCATCAGCCTCACTACTGCGCATCCCGAAGTCCTCAACATTAGTTGGAAGCTGCGCAGGCAAGCACAGACCATCTGAACTTGCTCGCAGAAGTTTTCGCAAAAGCGCTCGCAAGGCACGCGGGTAGGGGGAGGGCATTCTTTGGTCCGATTAGACCTCGTGGCTGTTTAGCACGCTGCGATCTGGGGTGGGTAAGGTCTTCGTAGGGTTCGAATTCCGTACGAAGGCAACATATATGGCTTCGGGCTTTCAATTTCTGGGGCCAGGCTCTGGCTTTCGGTGTTGCGGAGGTTTGGGGACGTGCGTCACAGCTTGGGTCGGTATCCGGATGGTGAGAGGATAGGGAGTCAATGCCGAAGGCTTTCTGTACTTTTTTGGTCTTCGCCTTCCACAAGCATGTGCTCTACATAAATGTTTGGATCCGGCCAAGTCTTTCGGGCTCTCTTGCAGGCAGGATACCCCTAACTCTAACCACCTGGGCCAGCGTACAGTGCATGCATGTTCGGTCTGTACAGAAGCAGTGTTGGTAGCTCAGGGCCATCGCGCAAGCTTTGCTCAAGAACTGTGCTATTCCGTCAAGACCGCCTGGCGGAGGAAGGTTTCCAAGCAGTTGTAGGGGGATCAATTTCCCTCTGATGGGTGTCTTGGGGCCTGGATGTTCTCTGTCATCAAATGTATCGGTGTTGCTCAGGATCTTCATGAACCAGTTTTTCTTTTCACCAAAAGCTCCAATTTCAACAATGAAGAGTAAATCAGTATTCCGTTATAAACCCGATATAACATTTTGCAAACATAATATGCCAAGCCTCCAAGCCCTATTCAGGCAGGGCAGCGTAGCACCACGCCTCTTCCATCTACTGGTGTCAGTGCCTCAGACATAGATTACATAATATGTATGGCATGATGTTATACATATATACCGCACATCTAGTACATATACTATTATCTATGTAATCTACAAATACAGAAACAAATACCTAGTATAGATATACAGATCAAATTCATGTAAAGTTAGGTTGGATGTAAACAATATTTTACACAGGCTCGAGGGCTTTGAACGGTTTAGGGCCTAGGCTTAACTTGTCAACATACTGTTCTATTCTTGCCTGAATAATTAGCAAAACTATTTGGGGGGGCTCCTTTTTACAATTATAGTATAATCCAGGCCCCTACATTAACTTTTCAACATAGCGGGGCTCTTGGCCATCGGGTGTGACCGTCGGGTTGTTTCGGAAGTTAGAAGGGTTTAGGGTTCGGGGTTTAGGGTTTCAGGTTTAGGGTTTTGTTACAGGTTTAGGGTTTAGGGTGTGCTTCGGGCTCCAGGATTTCGGGCTCGCAGCAAGCTATTGGAACCTAATTTTTGACAGGAGCAATGGGTCGTTGAAGGGGGCTGTTCAACAGCCGAACATGTTTGAGGTCATGGGCACCAGTAAATTGCAATTCTGCAACCAAAGGAAACGTCCCATAGTTTTGCCTGGGGGGCTTGGGCGCTTTCTGAAAAGCATTAGGGTTTCATAGTGTTGCGCAATCTAGGTCCAGGTGTTTGGCAGCAGAAGCGTAACAGGGCTGAGAGCCTCATCAGCGTCTGAGACTCGGAGAAATGGGGGAGGGACTTAAACAACGCCAAAGCGATGGTAATCGCTTTGGCGGCATGGAGGGTTTTTCTCCATCTTGAGGAAACCAGAGCATCGAAACCTCAAGCGCACAGCGCCTTGCCATCAGGCAATTTCCCCATGCATAACAGCAACGGTCCTCCTGTTGTTAGGGTACGGACACATCTTTCCGCCGCGAGCTCTTTTCTTCCCTCCGAGCCTGTCGTATCGCTTCTGAGGCCAATCCTGGGCTGCTGTTTCCTGGATTCGCTTCTCTTCGGGTCCTCGGGAAGGGTGGGAAGCACTCTTGACTTGAACTTTCCGCACATCCTCGAATCCAAGACGGCAAGCTTGGACTCTGTTGGGCTAGTCACGGCTAGTCCGCGCCACCTCTCCAGACATTCGGAAGTTTGTAATTACTGCCTACCCCTCGAACTGCCCTTTACCCCCGAATCCCTGGCTTTCCCTTGCCAGGCCTTCTGAATAAAGATCAATCTGAAAGGCCTGCCATAGTCTAACTATTGCATTGCGATGACTATGAACAAACTATGTTATGATTTCTGACTTGCAATACTACATGTTACAGGGATGTCATCCATCCTGGCTTGAAGTCTCTTGCATGGCAAGGTTTCCTGTGGAAGTCTAACAGATGAGCATATGCACAGGCCCTCTCTTTTTCTATGTATCTTACAAGTTTTTTATCGACACAATGTTCATACATAGGTCATAAGTGTGTATGCATGTAGGTATGTATGTATGTATGTATGTATGTATGTCTGTCTGTCTGTCTGTCTGTCTGTATGTCTGTTATAAGGCGGTCTTGCAACTCTTTGTTTGGACCATGGATTGCCAATGCGCTGCAATTGCTTACGGCGGTCATTCCACGCATTCCAGACGTGCTCACAGAATGAAAGCGAAAGCCGCCCCATAAGCGTTCAACAATCCGATCTGCTTCCCATTCGTTGTTAATTTTGCAGGCTGTTCGTGCCGGGCTCCCGCAAAAAACTAAAACAACCAACCCCAGATGACAACTCCGTACACCGCCCACGCCTGAGTTGTGAAACTGCAAACCCGGCAAGCTTAAGCTGTTGAGCCCTACTTTAGCGCAGGCGCGAGCTATTGGCAAAGCGTGCAGTTACGCCTTCATCCCAGCACATGTGGGATGAGCGGCCATGGGTGTTGGGTGCATTGGTTTAAGATTGTTGGCATCATGGGTCCTGGATACCGCCACTGGCAGGGGTTTTGACAGGCTTCGCGGGCCTTGCTGTCGTTGTTGTCATTATGTTGACTGCTTTTGTGGCTGATGCTGCTACAGCTTCTGACTGTTTCTAATTTAAGTTTCTTTCTACACAATGTTCGCCTGCAGCAGAACCGACACGGAACTAGACTTAAACCCCCTTCATGCCTAAGCTCAACTACACTCCAACATGCCTGCACCCCAGCCCTTAAACGTTGAACAAGTGAATAAGCCCTCAGCCCTGAATTCCCTGAGGCCTACCGGGGCCAAAGGGGATGCCGTGCTCTTTGACGACGGCTTTGCCGTGGGGGTGGCTTTTGTGCAGCTTGGCAACATCAGTTTATTCCGAAGCCTCCGCCGTATACTACAGGGAGCTCAACCTTAAACCCTAAATCCTCAGCCCTGCGGCCTAAGCCTTAGCTCTTTGGGACTTTAGGTCCCGTCTCCTCCCAGGCTGCGCGTCTTCGGCCTCGACCGGGACTTCCAGTCCCTTCATTGGTTTCAGACCGAGGCCTTGGCACAAAGGGCACCCGAGCTTAGTCCTGCCATGTCCTGCCATGTTCTGCCAGGAGTGTTCGTAGCATCACTATTGATGAACCATCTTACTGTCGTTGAATGTCGTTTATTCTTTCTAGTGCTGTCCAGAATGTGCGTATTGCAGAGTTGCGCAGTATCACTGGAGGGTTCAGGGTTTGGGATCTCCAAAACACGGAAGCAGAAGCCCTCAGCATTGCACGGCCTTGAGATCACAACAGAATATGAGCATGTAATGTAACGAAAGTTACTCTATGATACCATGCACCGACATAGATATTTTTGCGAGGCAGTAAGAAAAGGTTGGAATTACATAACACTCTCCATAAACAGGCGAATGGTTGAAGGCTTATATGATTCGTAAATCTGCTCAAGTTGATTAGTTATGGTGCCCATCGCAAGCTGCGTCCAGATCGCCGACAGCGATGTCGCGGCGGGGCGAGCGCGCGAAGCGGCCGGGCTTCCTTTCCAGGCTCAGCCGTCGTCTCAGGGCTAGTGGGAGTAGGATTGAAAGTTTACGGTTTTAGATTTTAGGGGTTTGGGGTGTTGGCGTTGAGGGTTTTGGGGGTTTACGTTTGTGGGCTTGAGGGTTCTTGTTTTCAACACGGGCAGTTTGGGCTTTCGGGTTGTTGTAGGGTTTAGTTGTGGCGTTTTAGTTGTGGCGTTTGGGGATTTATGTAAGTCCTGTCGGGGCCTTAGGAGTCCGGAGCTTTCGGGGTTTCGGGGGTCAGGATCGAAGGCTGTCAGGTCATTTCGTGATGTTCAGCGTTTTGGGTGTTCACGGTCTTGGTTTTCAGGCTTGCGGGGCCACGGTTTGGTTAAGGGCCGTAGGGTTTAAGATGGCATGCTATCTCGGAGGGCAGGGGGTTGCGTAATCTGAAGCTTCAAGGTTTGAATAACACGAATTGTGAAAGCCTGTCGGAAAGACACGGCGACAATCTACGTTAGACTGCCAAAATTTCTTATGGCTTCACTCCTTCATGGTGACTGCAGGCTATCACAGGCCGCAAGACGTTTGGGAATGCGGGGGCCCGGACAACTTGATTCTCGATGTTCCTCTATGCAGGTGCCCAAGCCCCGATGTTTTGGTTCGAATTCCTCAACATCAACATTGAAAAGCACAACTGAAACGCTTAGACTGCTTAGATTTCCATCAAACCTCGTAGATCCGCAGCCCTGAAAGTCCAGACCCATAGTGAGCCCTGGCTTGGAATGAAGCTGGTCTGCATGGGAAGGACTCCCAGAGATCTGCAGCCCAAGCAGCACGAGCCTCAAGAGCCCGAGTCTTTTGCACTTTCCTCTTAGGGGTTGAGGGCCCGTGCCAATTACTACGCAGCTACTGTACTGGCTAGAAACGCAGTGCATGCTTTAAACTACGATATTGTCCAGCTTCATGCTGCTGCCGCCTCCTGCTCCACGACAACATTGTTGATGTTACAGCAACACTACGACGACGACAACCGCAACAACGACGACAGCAGCAGCGACACCAACGACGACCGCGACGACAGACCGCAACAACCGCAACAACCACAACAGCAATCGCCGCAACAACAAGTATCACAACCACAACAACAGCCAGAACAAGAGCAACAGCAGCAGAAACAACAAACAAAACAACAACCACAACAAGAATCTCAGCAGCAGCAACAACATAAGCAACAGCAGCAAGAGCAACAACCAACCACAACAACAACAACAACAACAACCCGTAC